GTTCGGGATTTTGCAAAGTTCATCATTGAAAAAATCGTGATTCGTAGTGAATTTTGGTGAAACTTTCTAATACTGAATGTGAGTATTTATCAAGTCAAAGATGCTCGATGCTCATCGTTCTAAAATGAAATCCGATCTTCGTACGAATATCACAACGAATCATATTGTAGGTGTTCCGCCATCCCTGTCGTATAGTTGGGATCCATTTGCTTGATTTTGATGAAAGTGGTGATGTGGCCTTCCGAATTTATCTTCAAAGTCACAATTTCCAAATAATTTTATCCTAAATCAAAAACGAATCGTCTCTAGAGGTAACCCGATTTAGCCGTCTTGACTGCCGTATCGACACGACACTCTGGACCGGTCATGGTGTAGATGATCTCGACTGAAGTGAGGCCCTAGTAGAAGCTGTACTAAGCAATACGAAACTATCGATTTGAAATTGGCTTACTACTTGACTAGCCTATTGGTCCCAAGCAAATCAGTTAACGAAGCCCATTCTAGTTGAATTTCTAGTACTAAACGATGTTTGTTTTGATTATCTATAAAAGTTTGACAGATAAAATGAGGGGTTCGTGGATTTTCCTATGTTTCGAAGGGTGCATCGATTAGCTTGGGAATTAGCCGAAGAACTGAGCTGTTCCCAGGTAACAATTTGATGCTTAACAAGTGTTGTTTAATCGATTTTAATTCAGCCTTAGATTGAATAATTGCTGTACATAGACCACGTTAACCTTTGTTCAGCTTTTAAACATCTAAACCTGGTGCCAAAAGCTGAACAGTAATGTACATTACAAGCTTTTTAAGGCATTACATAACTGTCTTTTCCAACCCTTGTTCAGCCTTCTAGTTTTATTTCAAAAATAATAATGGAAGACCGCTTCATATCTTATGCATTTATATGGAACTGCTTTAAATTGTTGCTGACTAATTGAATTTACATATTTATGTTGTTGATATAAGTTTAAAAATTACCTTTGGATTTTGGGATTCGAACCGGCAGTCGCTGAATCACAGGCGTCAACCATACCTACTGGACCATTTTAGCATATGTGTGGCAAAAGGTATGACCATTAACTTGAAGCACGTCAAATTTAAGTTGAATAACAGCAACCGGAAGAGTATTATACAGCAATGCAGAATTGTAAACAACAACTGATATTTTTGAAATGCGGTCTGAAACTTCAGTGCAATATAACAGACAAAACACAGGAATACAAATGTATACTTGTCGCAGCCCACATCTACCAGCTATTCCTAAAAATCTCCTTTTCCTTGTCTCTACTGCTGCCACTGCTTGTAATTGGAAAGGTAGGCCGTGAATTTAGCAGAACTAAAATGTCGGACATGCAACGAGGAACACAGACACTAACGACATTTAACAAATCAAGCTATCAAAATATGTGTAACGCCTTGCTGATTTGTGGAGTTGTGTTAAGCTTAAATAAGGCTTGTTCAATCTTTAGATCAGCTAACTTATTGAGGTTAGATTATGGGGGTACAATTCGCTTCATGCACTACTAATCAACTATATATTCAGCCTGATGTTAATCAGCTTTGTACACCTTAAATCAACCAATAATCAGCTTCTGTGCTTAATGTTCAGCTTGAATTGTTACTTGGGTTCTTTTGAAGGATGCAGCGTAGGGTGTTCTTCGGCTCATACACTAATTTTCACACCAACATTAACACAAAATCGTTTTTTATTACTAACATTTTAACTTAATAAATTTATTCATCTTAATTACTACATTGACGAACATAAACAAATTAAATTAAACACGCGACGGACGTCTCCGGAATGCTATTGCCTAGTATATGGCTCGAGGTGCAGTGAAATGTATTCGATATACGATCGATCGTTTCGGTCCATTTGATCGTCACATATTCCGGTAGGTAGTGGTGGAGATGCTGCGGTTCGGCTGTTGAATAGATGTGGTCACTTCGGTATCGAACATCCTGCTCCCGGCAGAAATGACCATTTCTGAAATCTCCGGCTATCTCGATAACATGTAAATAATTAAGACCCGGTATAACTTCCCAATAAAACTTAAGAGATTGGACAGGTCCTTACATGGACCCTACTGTTCGAGGGCCTTGTATGCTGATAATCTACGATGAGTTCTGCCCCCGGCTGACGTGACGTCCTCGCTATTTATCGCTTTCGTTGTGGAGTTGATGGTACGATTCCATTTACAGCAGCACTAGCAGTTGATCCGATCCTCGTGGAGTATAGTGGGAAACGCTCGCAGGTACATGGAATGTAAATAAGACCCGGTAGCCAATTTCGAGAAGGTATGGGCCTTGAATTCATTTCGTTTCCAGCAACTTTGAAGAGCTTGGTTGATCTGCTTCTGCAGAAACCATGCTGTTGGCCAGGTTGATCCACAAAGGAAACCTCTGCTAACGTTGATGGCTAATCGTCAACTGATGGTGGTATTGGAAGTACGCAGATTTTTGCCGTATGACGAGTTAGGAATCCGGTTGCAGTTTGAAAAGTGACTACTAGTACTACGCCGTCCTTTCCTGGGTGTAGATCGTGGATTCGTGCAGTGGCCCAGCGCATCGGTGGCTGGTTCTCGTCTACGATGACTACGAGCTGGTTTTTATGCAGTGGTACAGGCGGTTTGCACCACTTACTACGTGGTTGTAGCGAAGCGAGGTATTTCACGTGCCAGCGTTTCCAGATATCCTGGAGCAGTTTCTGGATGAGCTGCCATTGCAGGAGACGGTTTACTAGAATTGATTCATAGTCGACGTCTGGGACGGACTGCAAGGACGAATCGATCAGAAAGTGTCCCGGTGTGAGGGCTTGGAAGGCTGACAGATCCTCGGATAGTTTGGTGAGCGGTCGTGAGTTGAGACATGCTTCAATCTGCACGAGGAGTGTCTCCATGTCGTTGAAGGCTAGCTTACGATCTCTGAGTACACGGACGTAGTGCTTCTGTGCAGAGTTGATTGCAGCTTCCCATAATCCTCCGAAATGCGAACCACGGGGCGCATTGAAGTGCCAATGAATCCCGGTGGTAGCACATTCACTGGCGAAAGTGTGCTGACAGCCTTTGTCAGGTAGTAGTTTTCGGATTTCATTCGCTGCCCCAACGAAGTTTTTACCGTTGTCGCTGTAGACGTCTGAACACAAGCCCCGACGAGATACGAAGCGACGGAAAGCCTGGAGAAACTTCCCAGACAACCAGAATACACGTATATTCAAAGTTGTTTTCGTGATATACAAACATATATACAAACAAACAATTCGTATAAAATGCAAATAAATGGCTTATACGTACAAAAGTGGAGGCCATATACGTGCATATTTTAATTTAATTTTAAACGATTTGATTTAACATTGTATACGATTTTATCTGTAATAACAAATTCATTTTGAAAAGTCTTACGATGTAATCCGATTAATTTTGTGATACAGTACGACAGAAAAATAAGTAATCGCATATAGGTCGGAAATTTGCATTCTATACGATTTTACTTAAACATAATGCGATGTATGCCATTCTTTTATGCGATTTTGACTTAAACTGTAGCAATTTACGATACTGTGTGTACATTGTTATGCGACTTCTGGTTGTCTGGGTTGACTGTAGTTAGGTCCACGACGAGCTCCAGGTGTACAGCTTTTGTGCTGAAGCACACAAATACTGCGACGTAAGCTTTCGGAGGTGCATCTCTGCGGTGACGAGGCTTGAGGAAGATCGGTCCCCAGAACTCAACACCGACGAAGGAGAAAGGTCTCGAAGCGGTAACGCGCTGAGTTAGAAGTTCAGCCATGAATTGCTCGACTGCCTTCGGTTTGGCTCGAAAACAGGTGACGCAGCCGTGAACAATGCGACGAGTGATGTTTGTGCCACCCAGGATCCAAAACCGCTGCCGAATAGTGTTGGTAAGTAGCTGTACAGTTGCGTGCAGAAGGCGTTCATGATGACAACGGACGAGAAGTGTCGTGAATGGATGCGACCCTGGCAGAAGTATCTGATGGCGAGAATCATACGGTTGTGCAGAACGACTCAATCTTCTTCCGATGCGTAAAACGTTATCAGGAGCAATCATCAGATTGAACCAGCGAAGTCGTGAATTCGAGGAGACCATTTGATTTGCCTGCAGTGTCTTTCATTCCATAGGAAAGCTGTCCCTTTGAACAAGTCGAACGAGTGCTAATTCGGCACTACGAAGTTCAGATGGTGGTAACGGTGATGAAACAGTTCGCTCGGCCTTGGGTAGTCGAAGGTTTTCGAAAACCGCCGCCAGTAGGCAGTGATGCGTAACATATGCTGGTAGTTGGAGAACCTGCTTACGTATTCCTCGACGAATTATGACGAAGAAGAATCGACTGCAAGCGATGATTTCCTTGCTTTCTTGGCTGCTTCGTTATCAACACCTGCGTCAACTGGAACTGTCTACGATTCCTTTTCTCCTCGAAGCCATGGAGGACCTTCCCACCACAGTCTACACTGTATCAAATCCGCAGCTGGAAGACCTCTCGAGATGATGCCAGCGGGATTCTCTCGTCCTACTACGTGGTTCTACTCGCAGTTCTCCGTCTTCTGCTGGATTTTGGATACTCTGTTTCCGACAAAAGTGGACCAAGTGGATGGTGTAGCCTTGAGCCAGCTCAAAACGGTGATTGAATCTACCCAGAAGTACGCTTTGGACGTGATTCGCAGTGCTTCGGAGACCTTCTGGTAGAGCTCAGCAGACAGAAGTGCGCCACAAAGCTCTAGGCGCGGAATGCTTTGCTGTTTGAGTGGAGACACCTTCGAGCGAGACGTTAATAGAGCGACCTTGACTTTACCTGACTCATTCGTCGATCTGATGTAGGTACACGATCCGTATGCAGCTAAAGAGGCGTCCGAGAAGAAGTGCAGCTCCACAGAAGTAGCATTTGGGAGTATAAAAAATCGATCAATCCGCAGAGAATTCAGGCGGGGAAGTTCGGTGTAGTATTCGACCCAGCGTTTCCTCATCTGCTCCGGTAGTTCCTTGTCTCACTCGTACTGCTTTCCGCTGCCATCCTTCAATCCCCACAATGCCTGCACGAAGGTCTTTGCGATGACTACGACCGGACCCATCAAACCAAGTGGGTCGAACAGTTTGGCGATGCAGGAAAGGGCACTTCGTTTCGTGACGACTGTTGAGGACTTGGCTGTTGCTTCAGGAACGATTTATTTCAACTGGTCAGAACAGGGCTCCCAGTGTAAACACAGTGTCTTGATGGACTGATCCTTGTCGAAATCCATCGAAGGTTGCAAGGCACGGTTGTTTTCCGGAACTCCTTCTAGAACTTCATGGTAATTGCTCGCCCACTTTCGTAGCTGCATTCTAGCCGAGTTGAACATAGCATCCATTTGCTCCCGTAGTTCGATTGCTTCGGCGACAGTCTGTGCACCCGGAAAGAAATCGTTGACATTAAAATCTTCACAGGTTGCCTTCGCTGCTAGAGGATAGTTCTCCTTCTCATCCTCCGCTAGCTTCTTCAGTACTCGAGTGGCTAGATACGGGGCTGAAGCGGTGCCGTAGGTTACGGTCTTCAATTTGTAGATGCGGATCGGTTCTGATAGTGAAGGACGCCAGAATATCAGATGAAATCGGCAGTCTCTGGGAAACAAAACAATTTGCCAATACATTTTGGCGACGTTAGCAATTATCATTATAGGATGCAGGCGAGATCGCATCGTTATGGACCGCAAATCTTCTTGAACGATTGGACCCACTAGCATAGCGTCGTTCTAGGAAATTCTGGTGGAGCTCTTGCAAGAAGCATCGAAGACGACACGGACCTTGGTTGTACTGCTCTCCTCGCGAATGACTGGATTATGTGGAAGGAAGTATGCAGGCCCTGACACTGCATCTGATTCATCGATTCGCTCCATGTGCCCCAAATCTTCGTACTCGTCCATGAATTTCCGATACTCGGCGGCTAATTTAGGATCGCACCCGAAACGACCCTCGATCAGGCGGAAACGGTGGAGTGCAGTACGTCTTTTGTCTCCTAAATTTTCCAGAACTTATTCCTTGAACGGTACTCGTACCATGTACCGTCCATTCTCGCAGCGAAGAGTAGTTTCACTGAAGAATTTCTCGCAGTAGGCTTCGAATGCAGAGTGGACGACCGTTGAATCGTCCTTGATGGCCCAAAATCGCTCCATATTACGATGGATGTCGGCAGTGGTAGCGACGTTGCAGACTACGGAAGATCTTGAATGTTGTTCAGGAGTTTTGCCGCTGATAATCCAACCAATTCGCCCAAAGTGATTCGACCAGCAACATTGAAGAGTCCAGTTAACTGGATTCCTGTCGAAAGCGACCAACTCGACGCATCGACGGAGATTGAAGGCAGATCTACGGTGACCTTGGGAAGAACGAAGGCGTCGATGGTGGTGGAAAACTTAGATATCCGAGACTTCACTATCGAGTGGAACATGCAGCGGACTTCGTTGAGCACAAAAAGTTGAGCACGTTTTTTTGGGACCTACTAGTCTTAGAGTTACCTCTATGGTTTTGCTAGGTTTGAAGAGATTCATGGTTCAGACAATACTTAAATAATTTTTCGGACAATCTTCAAAACCCGGTGGGTATCCGTTGTTTTTTATATTCTTGATGGAATCCTTGTATCACCAGTCTTATGTATGACACTCTCTCGCTAGTTTCATTTGGGAGTAAACAAAATATTTAACCTTAGCAACGATTGGCAAAACATCAACACTCAACAATGATGCCGTTTTATATTATATTGCCTGTATCCTACTTGTCCAAGTGTGCCTTAATGTGCCGAACAGTGTATCATGCTGTGTTTCGGCACAGTGTGCAGAGTTGATTGCCCCTTGAGAAATGGTCTAATTCGGGAGGAATCACACAATTTGCTAGCAACTTGTTTCCATGCTGAAAATACTACTCGATGATTGCCGTAAAGTAACGAGCATCGTGTATGATTTCTTCATCGACATTTGAAAAGGGCAGAATTGATTGATGATTCTCACGAATAAAAGCTCACATATCCAAAGTAATGACACCATCAGGTAGATGAATATTTCCACTACCAGCTGGCATCGCTAACGTGTAGAATCGGAGGTTAGATGATGAGATTTATGTCGCTGAAAATGTGAGGTGTTGGCTGGAGCAGATGGTGGCTCGCTGAAGTTTACCTTTAACGAGCCATACGGTTTGAAGCACTTTTGGCATGCGGCTTCATTAAGCTCAATTTTCATCCCTAGAGCTAGGATATATATCTAGCGATCAGAATCATAAGGGCCTAGCTGCGATCATCGATGATTTTTCCGAAATTTGTCCAGTACATTTTACTAAAATGATGTATTCGCTATCAAAAGCGGCATCAAACGCACCGTGAAGGTTAAGCCAGCCAAGCTTTTAACAAAAGAGTTAGGCCCTTATGATTCTGAAAGCTAGCTATGAAGGATGAGGGATGAAGCGCATTCAAAACAGCATCCATTCGTCGTTCTTCTGTGCGTTATCAATCTTCCACATGGTCTGAAAAATTCAACGGAAAATTTGGGCGGAGGAAGACGGTGTCATGACGAGGGAACGAGCAGAAATGATGAAAAGTCGTGACAGGCACTGCTACAGTGTCCTGTGCGCATCATCAGTAGTCAGCGGTCGAGGGTGGTGGGCGGCGGCGTTCGGAATCATTTATCTTTGCTTCACCTATCTTCCTATACCTACAGTAGGGTGCCACTGAAAATGGTCAGCTTGAATTTCGAAAACCGACCATGTGCAAAATGTGTTTTGACTTGTAAAAAGATCTTGAAGATGGCGTAAAATCGTCAAAGTTTGAGTATTAAATTAATAGATCACTCAATGAAATTTTGGGTTTCGACTGATTTGCTTGATGTCAAATGATTTAAAAATGCACGAAACGTCCAGATCTGGTGATATTAAGAAAAAATTAATTGTCAAAAACTGTACTGCATTATTTCATCAATATCCCGTGACAACTGATGTGCTACATTTCTCGCTTTTCACTGACAAAACTCTTATTGAAATGCTGACTGACAAAATATGATGCGACACGACGTGCGCTGCTTTGCTTCGTCAATACACTTCGATAGACAAAGTAGTCCGGCAAATTGTTTGTTAGAGGTTGAGATTGTCGCAGATTGTTATTTTTCTTCATTGAGCAAAGATTCTTTTAGTAATCTGCTTGAAAATCGATTTGGATAAAAGTATAAACTTATATTGAAATAATGAAATTGGGTTGTTAGCGGAATGCTTAAATAAAACAGCATCAGGTTACCTTCCATTTAAGCAACAGGTTATCTTCCATTTAATTCCACTTCATTAATGTTGGTATCCATGACAGATACGTACTTCGACTACAATGTGCAGTCTGCATCAGTGTCATTCTCACTAAAGAACTTATCAAAATCTAACCCCCTTAAGTACTCATCCCAAAGGTAAAAAAAAGTTACTTTGAGTTGGTAGTAAGTTTTCTGGTAAATGTTGGGGGTTCGCGAGCATTCCTGACATTGCTGAAAATTAAGATAGCCTCAGATTTCGGGGTTGCTAGTGTAATAAGATGCTTTGCTGATTGTTCATTAACTCTTGATTACTTGTAATACTTATGAATATTTTAGGTGGACAAAAAGGCGAACTAAGAGGTGAACGCCTGAGCTTTTCCACATTTTTATCGCTGTGAAGCAACTGTAAATTCTAGAAGGAATATATATCTGTAACTGTAACCAGTGTGATTTTGTTTGCTAACCTGGTTAAAATGTCACATTTAATTATCTTAAAGATAAATCTTCCAGCTCAAACTTTTGTAGGGGTAAGTGGTGGGACCATCAGAAACTTGGTTATGCCACCATGGCGCCTAAGCGCAAAAGAAAAGAGCAACCGCTTGGCCCCTCTTCTGATGAAATTCAATTGAGCAATCAATTTGATATGCTTACGGATGATGAAAATGGTTCATCATCCAGAAAAAAATCCATTAAACACTCCCGGCTTAATGCCAAAAAGGAAAAGGTTCCCCCTATTGTGGTGAACACTTCCGATTTCCATGATCTTCGCAAGGAACTTTTGAACTTCGTTCAATTTAAGTTTCCGCTTCAAATTTGCCGTCATACTATACACAAACTCTAAACAATATCAAAGGCAACACCATAAGCTACAAAATCGATCCAATGTTTCCAATTTGGAAATAGTGCAGGGAGTAAATTTAATCATTATCTTCTACTATCAAAGTTACCCGCACCATAAAAGATACCTCGTTTTACGGTACCTGAGGTTTGTCAAATAACGTAAATATTTACATCGTTTGCACCGAGGAATCCAAACATATCTTTTCAAAAGGACGTATATAACATTTGATAGGAAATTAGAAACATTAGATAGCAATGCCCACATGAGATTATTAAATAATATTTAACAGTTAATGCTTTTTTATCTGTTTCTGCTATTAGGTTGATAAGGGATGACGTTTAAGAGAATTAAGAAACATGTTGAGTTTTTGAAAACACGAACTAGACTTTTCCTTGTTTGCTGCTCACATATATATGATTCGTCGATTTGGCAGATCGGGTTTCTTATGCGTCAGATCAGATACACCGGTTTTTGTTTTGCAGCGAAGATACGTCGGTAGCTCGGAATAAAATGAGAATACTGTCTGTTGCGCTAGGAAAATGTTAAGAGGCAAACTGTTGTGACTCATCTGGTGGCTGCATTAGAAAAAAAAAAAAAAAAAACATTTGTCATTTTTTAAACATACCTAGCAGTCAGGGCTATTCTGCGTGGCGTGTGAGGTGAAGTGACCGTGAAGTGATGGTGAAGTGACAATTGTCACCTCGGGTGAGGTGACTCTCCATTTGATTTGCACGGAGAGTCACCTCACCCGAGGTGACAATTGTCACTTCACAAGTGAGAGCGTGTCACCTCACCTCACACGCCGCGCAGAATAGGCCTAACTAGCTGAATCCCATGAAAATACAATTTGTATCTACCTAGACTGTGAGCCTTTTGCAGACTTTAATTTAACTGGTGGTTAAAAGGGACATTTCGAAAGTTGTTTTAATTTGTTTGTTTATTTGTCGTTAATCAGTGTCAATCTATGCTCAAAAATCCCCGTGCTGTCAATTGACCGGTTTTCGAGCCACGGTTGTCAAAATTTAATTTCTTGTCTGTCAAAAATAACCATTCTCGGATAGCAGGTATTATCGATAACTTTCCATCTGTAATATTGTAACCACTTTTACAATCAATGAGTTCAATACATCATCATGAATAACATTGATTCATACTTATTATATTTGTTTGTTGTGTACATATTAGGGTAGAGAACTACTTCGGCCTAATCACCCATTTTGGGCCTATCGAGCAGAAAACTTCAAATAAATCCATGATTTCAAAGTTAACAAGTCAATTATGCGTTTGGTACGATACTTTAGTTAATAAGCTACGGCACGAACTCAATGAGAATGTGTGATATGTGTGATTTGCACCCATTATTCCCAAAAACAAAAGAAGCGCTCGGACCGAATCAATTTTTATCTTCATCCGATAGGCCGAAGTGAATTCATTGGCGTTTCAATGGCGTTTCAATACGTTAGGTCGAGTTTGGCGTCAAGAAACAATGTTAGACTTTTGACAATTTCTCAACTATTGGTTTCTCTTTATCAAATCTTACGGTACATATGGAAAGGTAAATAAATTTGGAAGCCATAAGTAATAATAACTTGAAGAAAGACTAATTGCGGGTTGTGCTTAATAGGCCGGAAATGGCGTAGTTATTCTAACCCGTAAAGTACCAGGACGAACGAATTGTTTCAACAAACTCGTTCTCAGCAATGCGTCATCCGATTTTCATAAACTTTGATTTTTATTCAAGGGGAATAGTTGCACTAACTTTTGTCGTAGGTACCACCCCTTAGAACCCTCCTAGTTCTTGGTAGATGTAAATATGTCTGTGTTTTTTGTACTTTTTTAACCAGTTTGACCAAATGTTTTAATTTTTCATGCGAATCGGTTGTCTGGTGCAGCAAATGATTTCAGATAGATGAAATATGATTAGTAAGACTGAATGTAGATATTTCCATAACGTATAACTACGATATTATCGGTTCCGGGAGTCCCGGAAATCGGTTCTGTAGGACATTGTAATACCTCAGGCAAAAGTATCTTGTGACATGTCAAATCCTGTCAATTAGGTAGAATCAAGTGAATGAAAATGATTTGAGATGATTTTGGCCAGTGTGGCATCGGTTCCGAAACGTATATATCATTCCTAGTCATAATCCAGAATTTACGGAACCAGATACTGGAGGCATTCAAACAGATGCAATAATTGTTCATGGCCATATCCTATGATTTGATATGCAGTATGATTCACTTGCCTCCAATATGACTATGGCCTAAAGAACTGGGTTTCAGGATCACAGGAACCGATGTCAATGTGGCCATGTGTCACAGGATTCATCTCAAACTGTTTTCATTAGGCATATTTACTTTTTTGTCGTGATTGGAACCACCACATGATATGGTTTTCATGAATATGATTAAACCTTACCGTATCGTACCACCTGCACCAGACAACCGATTCACATGAAAACTTTAAACATTTGGTCAAACTAGTTAAAAAAGTACAAAAACACAGACATATTTACATCTACCAAGAACGAGAAGGGTTCTAAGGGGGTGGTACCTACGACAAAAGTTAGTTCAACTATTCCCCTTGAATAAAAATCATAGTTAATGAAAATCCGATGTGGCATTGCTGAGAACGAGTTTGTTGAAACAAATTCGTTCGTCCTGGTACTTTATGGGTTAAAGTGATGAGCGGTGGTAGAAAGGCAAGGAGCGAGACAGCTCCTAATCATGAGAAATTTCAGAGTTACTTTTGAGGCACCTCGAGTAACTCACATTGCTCAGTGAGCAAGATCGCTGTCATTTGCTTTCTTACCTTTCGCATCACAGCAACATTTGAAGGTGCACTTTCATGCGACGCCGAAAAGCTGCTGTCAAACAAAACGACAAGAAAAGTGGAACTAGGAGACACTTAGTTCATCTCAGTTTAATAACCTTCGTTCGACCCTTACCAACCGTGAACGTGAAAGGAACCTGTTGCAACCTTACACTTACGACGGTCGAATGCTTACCTGATTGATGTGGTAGAAAACCCCGATCTGCCTAACCCGAGGGGGGTGACACATGTAAATCTCAATTCTAGATGCTCAAAAAATCTCACACTAGCGAATCAATCTTCGAAAAATCATCTTTAATTTCTCGCATCTACTTGCATCGTGCTTCATCTTTTTGCAGGAAATCTTCAAAATCGACATAAATCTTCCTTCTATCTACTCAGCGTGCGTGCAGCTAGCCACAGCAAAACACAATCTTTTCTGCATCGTAGATAGAGTCGTCCCCCTCGGCCTAACCAAATACTCAAAATCGATACTCGTCGAAGCAATCCCGTCCCATTGCTTGACGAATTGCCGTTGGATGAAACTACGAACCGAGCTCTGAATTACCACGGCGTCGTTTTGCTGACGGGGGACATCCATCCCCGCTTTTGGTGCTTTTACTGGGCCATACGGATGGTTCCGTTTTTTGCTTTATACCACCGAGATTTTTCTACGGCCGTCGACCGAAGTCTCCAGGATTTGTGCTTCGTCTTCCTGACGGGTTTTCACTTCGGTTTCGTCCGGTACATCGTTATTGGGTTTGAAGTTCAAACGAAGATCGCACTCATCAGAAACAGCAGCTACTTCACCGTCATCCTCCTCTTCGGCTTGGGCAGTGGCAGTGGCTGCACTGATGCTCTGGCTGAACATTCCACGGGGTAATGGTTTGTAGCGTTGTCTTCGGAGCTGGATTGGGTTGTTGCCCCGATTACCGGGGAGATATGTTCTATACCGGAAACTGTGGCGGCGGGTGCCGTTGGAGGGGCCATGGTTGAAATATTGCTCACTACTCTATGTTTGCCATGGTGCCAACGGGAATGTTAGTTGAAAGGGGGTCGGAATTTGAGGAACTATCAACTCTATTTATTTCCATTTCGTCAAGCCAGTGTAGACTACATACAATGATTATTACAATGTTTACTTACATACTATGCATTAATTCTATTCTGTTTTAGCTTTTTTTTTTATTTGCTGCTTGGACATAGTGATGTCAATAGTTCCGCAATGCAAATTATATAGGCGCATCCTTCGATTGATTGGGCTATTTTTTGCATAGTTTGTTCTGTACGATGTTTCTGAAAATAAATTCCGTGTTCTAAGATATCGACAAGGTGTGTAAAAATTTAATTGTGCGAGAATTTCTGCCGAATCTATGCGCATTGAAATAATGTCGTTGATGAAGAAAAGCATTGCAAATTGGCGGCGCTCCTTAAGTGTTTGTATATTGATGAGCATGCAGCGCGCTTCATAAGATGGTAATGGAAATGCAGTCCAATTCAATTTACGTAAAGCATATAAAAGGAATTGTTTTTGGACAGATTCTATGCGTTCTTCGTGTATGGAAATGTATGGATTCCATACTAGGTGGCAGTATTCCAGAATTGGCCTTACATATGTGGTATATAAAAGCTTAATAGTGTATGGGTCTTCGAAATTATGACTGAACCTTTTGATGAAGCCTAGCATTCTGTTTGCTTTACTAATGATAGTATTATAATGTTCTATAAAAGTTAGTTTGGAGTCTAGGATTACACCTAGATCTCTTACAATTTTGCTTTTTTCTACTATTTGGTTGCCTAATGATATTTCAATATGCGGTGTTTCAATTTTTCTGCTAAATGCTATTGCAGTACATTTTTTTACGTTCAGTTGAAGTAGACTTTTACTACACCAGGTGTTGAATATGTATAATGGTTTCATTCTGGAATTCTTCTGCATCGCTAGAATTACTTATTTTCATAAAGAGCTTCATGTCGTCTGCATATACAAGCAATTTTATTTTTTTAAGTATGTAGGAAATGTCGTTTATGTACAAAATAAAAAGAAGTGGGCCTAAATGAGAACCCTGGGGTACCCCAGAGGTGACTGAAATTGGTTCTGAAAGTTTATTTTGAAAGCGAACTATTTGTTTACGATGTGTTAGGTATGACTGAAGCCAATTCAAAAGTCCAGGCTCCATTCCTATTTTCTGCAATTTGAGGATTAATAATGGTATGTCGATGCGGTCAAATGCTTTACTGAAGTCGGTGTATAGCGCTTCAACGTGCTTGCCACTGTCCAACGCTTTAATAATGAAAGATACATATTCTAGAAGATTAGAGGTAGTTGAGCGACCTTTAAAAAAGCCGTACTGTTTACTTGTAATAAGATTTTTCACCTGCTGAAAAATATTGCCGTTTACGATTGATTCAAAAAGTTTTGGAATGCATTAGTTATTGCCACATTGACTGGTGATGCCTTTTCCAATGGGACTGCTGTTACGACTGGAGAAATCGAAGATGATGGGATCGCTGCATTATAGGTGGAATTCCAGATGTTTAGAAGAATATTGGAGACCTTTTTGGATCAGAGATTTCAGACTGTGACTGGTTGCTGAGGAGGAAGAACAACCCTTAAAGCTGGTTGGAAGTATAGGTTGTTATTGGTAGTAAGCAGGCACCGGCACAGGTTCTTCCATAATATTCCAATTATTCGAAAGGCTCAGGATACACTTGGGATTACTTTATTTACAATCAAAACTGACGTCTAATATGAGACGTATACCTATGCTTAAAAAGCGTAAACGAAGTAGGCAGAGAAAATATTGAGGTACATTGAGTTACTTGCAAGTTACTCGCTGCCAAAAAGCAACTCAGAGTAAACCTGTCTCACCCCTTGTTGAAAGGTGATACCGTGCCGATTCAAATTTCGGACACTTAAACTCGAATTTCGGACACTTTTAAAAGTTGATTATCTCGGTCGAATATGATCCACATGTAAATTTTAAATTTTTTTGACTAGTGCCCTCCACGATCATCTAACATTATTACTTTGTTTCTAACTGGATGTAATATTTAATTAAAAATGAAAGTGTCCGAAATTTGAATCGTCCGAAATTTGAATCGGAATGGTACATTATCACGATTAAAAGCTTGTTTCCAGTAAAATAAAAATCACGCAAAACTAACAAAACAAATCCCTAAAGATAGACTACCCAAGTAACAATTCTGCAATCATTTGGCATCCACTCTGATTTATGATGGTTTTATAATGGCAATGAATGATCCATTTAGTTTAAATACAGCATTTCGCAGTGTAACACGTTCCTGCTTAGTAGTTCACCTTTTCGCTGTTTTAAAAACCTTTTACAGTCTGTCGAGAAGTCAAAAACTGTCTTGTTTTAAAATTAAATTTAAAGTTGTTCTCAATCCCACCATAAAACTGTTCTACAAATCAATCATAAACTTCATTAGCAATTTTTTATTAATGTCTTGATAAAATACTCTATTAACCTGTTCTATCATTATAAAAGTAATCATAAAACCATTAAGTTTTAAATGAGAGCAAATAACACATATTGTTGCCTTTTAGGCTTTTATAAGGGTATCATAAAATCTCCTCTGTTTACAAATTGAATTTTAAGGATGGATCCTCACAGTGAATAAAAACCAAATTTATGACAAGGATATATCGAAGGATAAACGAAGTTGGAAGAAAAATTCAAGCGATGCTAACGACCGAAGGGAGGTCGATTTCAGAACCAGCACGTCCGGTGGAACTGGTACAATCAACGACTGAGCATCTGGTGGAGAAGAGAGAGGTGAGCGTGGTCCTCAAATTCATAAAACATTGTCAAAATAGCCTGAAAACAGACCAGCCTTCTCCAGACCTTGCGAATAGATGAAGATCGGAATAACTTGTGTCAGTACCGACAGCAAACCACTGAAACTGTCAGTTAGCGGACACTAGTTGGTTTCCGATCCATAGCTGCGATTTTATTCGGTGAAAGGGTCATCACTTGGAAAAAATTAATTCAACTGTACATTTCTGCATCGTTTGATGGTGCACTTCCAGAACCATCCGGAAGAAGGGAATCTTTTCGGGAATTATCGAGGTTACAGCTGTGCGAAATGCGAAATGTTGTGAACACTTTCTTAGTAACTGCTTCCAAGCCATCGGGAGATAATCTCCTGGAAGGACGCTGAATCTAACAGCGCAACTATCGAAAGATAAACAAACTTTGACGTTTAACTTTTGCAGGCAACTTTACCTCCATAAATGCTGCCATAAATCTGAACGGGTTAAGATCAAGCAAAATGGCTTTAGATAAATACAATTCAGCCTGCAAGTTTTCTTCATAAAAGCCATTTTACAACCTGAGGATTTTGTTATGGATTTCTTAAAAGCAAAACAACTTTTTCACAAATGACCCATGAAAATCAACTTTTATGCCACCGCCATGTTGCAATTAGTTTGCTTGTTTTTTTTACAATCTTCGATTTTCTATCTATATTTCCTTGGATATAACTATATTTTGATAAATTTAGCAATGAGCAAACATTTAAATGCGAAAATCATAAAAAAATAATCTCGGCCTAGCTCGATCTGAAAAATAATTTATTTGGTTCAATGTAAAATAATTAGTCAAATCGACGTTTTACGAGAGCGGACCTATTTTTTTCGATGTTTTCATGTACACTTCACATGACATTTAATAAGGCACTTAAAACTAGGCCACATAATGAGAACTATTGTAATAAATTTGGATATTCAACACAATTTTTATACCATCAGTTTTTATTTTAATTATTTTGATAAGATCGGATTCATAAATCCTTTTCTATCTTGATTGATGCTTTCCTAGTGGATTTAGTAAGCGGCTAGGGGAAATGGCTCGGAAAGGGTTTTTATTGTTGCTAAATAGCTTTTGTTGTAGTTTTCAAATGGTTCTCAATGCGTTCGTCATACAACCTTTTGCAGTAAATCAATCTTGAAGAGCTTCGAGAATACACCCTTCAGAACCTTCTTCAGGGTGGGCCAACTAGACATATTCTAGTCTTAATGAGGTTTTGGTGGATGCATTAATGGCAAGATAGCCTTGACCAGGGTTTTATTAATGTTGTTTTATAGTTGCTTTGTAGTATTTCATAAAACTTAAAATGTTACTTGGGTAAGCTTATGTCCTACGGATCATTTCTGCAAAATTCAATCAATACTGAACCCTTCGTAGAACCGGCATCACTGACTTGAAAAATTGTATCAAAACCATTTTAAAAAACAATGAAAGAAGACCAAATAGGGCGTTTATTAAGGCTCTGAACCATTTGGCGAATTTTGTTTAACTTTTGGTTAAAATTTGACAAATGGAAAGTTATCGATGAGCCCTGCTATCCGAGCATGGTTATTTCTGACAGACAAAACCGGTCGATCGACAGTACAGGGATTTTCGAACACAGAGAATAACTTTCGAAATGTCAGTTTTAACCAAGAGTTAAATTTAACTCGGCAAATGGTTCACAGCCTAAATATATTTTCCATAATTCATTGAAATTTCAAACCTCGTTTTTCATTAACTCGTAGGAAAAGCATGTACGTTCTTTTGACAATTTATGCTTGAATTGCACTATTAAAATCCCAAGCGCAATGACAGTGGAAGCAAAACGGCAGCGGAAAAGCACAATCTGAGTGAGCCTACTTTTCGGATTGAAAACTAGTTAGAACTAGAGAGGGTCTAGTATAAGAGAGGAGCGGACTGACTGTTTTTTAGTTAAACGAACTGTCAACCATAATAAAAATGTTATGGTTAATTTGCTTAACGACTCGTTCGGGGTATCATTCAAACCATTTATGGAACAGTTCGATCATTTGGTTTGTCGTTCGCTTATGGAAATTTTTTATTAGGGAAAGCCAGAGCCAATCGAGCAGCGCCTATCTTGATTCCATTGGAAGTGTTGCTAGAAATGACCTAGGCACAGGTTGCCAACACAGTTAGTTTTGAATCCGCTCCTCTATTATACTGGACCCTCTCTAACGGGTGTTCAATAAAAAATGAGATTTTTTCAGTCATATAGCTAGTAAAAAAAAATTTTTTTTCGACGAATTCAGTATTTTTTATCAAAAACATAATGTTTATTCTTCAAAAAAAACGTCAATGAATATTGGAGAGGGGCCCTGGTCACTCGGAAAACGGGAACGGACCGTGAATTAAAAATTTCTCAAATATACACCATGAACTATGGTTGACGGCTGTGGTTCACGAATATGGGAACTCTTTTTTTCCCGTGCAGCCATACGACGCAACTTAGTCGCGATGCTCTCACAAAAACGCTGGACGGCACTGAAATCATTCTCAGTTTTTATTGTACACCCGTTAGTTATAACCAATCCGGCATCTTGATGTAATTTGGGACAACTGTCAAACTTTTCGTTTGACCGTTCCGCTTCCGCCCATAGTGCGTTTGGGCGTTAACACTTGACAATCAAAACAAACCCGTACAACAGCAAGCCAAGACAACCACCGCTTTAAAAAAAAGTCGCTTCAAAATACTCATCGAAAACCAAGACCAACAATTGAAAAGGCCCTAACTCCATTTTGTAAACAAACTTTGTAAGGCCATTTTCTCGCGAACCGAAGTCCGCCAAGGGAAACCAACAGAATGAACAGGTAGGGGGAATTCTCCTGTACCCGGTTGTGGCTTCGGTTCGCGAATGTAGGTTTCGGTTTACGAGAAAATGGCCTTACAAGGTTTGTTTACAAAATGGAGTTTAGGCCATTTCAATTGTTGGTCTTAAAAAAATTTACGAGCGATGCAAGCGATTTGATAGTTTTGTCGCCGGTAATTTTCATCCATGTGAACAGGTAGGAAAGATCTCATGTTGGAGAAAATCGTTGTGACGGATGTTTTGTCAATTTGGCATCGAAAAATATCAATGTATTATCAGATTGATGATGGAATAGCTAAGACCAGACTCAATATCCTTCATTTTTAACCAATTTCGCGGAATTTCGCGGAATTTAGGGAAATTTGCAGCCGTAGCCAAACTTTGTGGAATTTACGGCTTTCGCGAAATCGCGAATTTCCACTGTCCCTAGTCATATGCATCAAACAAAAAAGTTCAAAAACCAAAATTCCATGTATCCCTTGGGTGAATTTTCGATTTAAAAAAAATCAAACTCTGACGATTTTGCGCCATTCCTAAATGTTGTACAATTGAGCTCAAATTTTGAACAGGGTATTTTTTCGAGGCAATATTTTACACTTTGAAATTTGGGGGTCACTTTTTTCCTATATATTAATTGACACCCTAACCAACGCAGGAATCCCCCGATGATCACGGTGGGTGGGTTCAGTACACCCACCACAATGTATAGGTTGTCAACCATGTGCTAAGTCAGCTCGATTGGTTGGAGAGCAGCCCAGTCATATAATATCAGTGAGGGTATTCCTCTATACGACTGAAAAAGCATTTCGCATGACTCTTATTGTTTGGAACGCTGGTTTTATGTTTGCGCTTTTCCGTCGACATTCGAGAGATGGATTTATCTGTGGAGTGATGAAATTTATGAGAATGCTAATGGGCGGAGATTTTGAAGCGAATCAAATTTATGGAATTTTCTGTGGCATTTGTATAATTTACTTTTCACTTGTACTGCCCTTTTTCAACATAGTTGACCCATTCGTGAAAATAGCAAGCTGAGCAAACAGCTGTTGAAGATTTTTTTTTCTCTATGGACTCTTATGAACGGGACAATGTAGTATTGGTATTTTTCACGACATTATCTGACCAATGTATAACTCTTTTTCAACAAAAATGCGAATGAGACTGTTATGCCGCACAGAGCAGTTCACTCTTTAACTAATTCAAGTCAACTCAAATAAAACAACAAACAGCACTTCAGTGGTCAAACATATGTCACAGCGAGCGACGTAAGACAGACAGCAGTGCAAGTCGTAACCTTTACATCATGTACAGCTCGGCATAGCAAACAGGGCAAATACTCAAAAGAAAACTTCAACGCCCATAAAGATAAATATCACCCCCTCCAACCAGCATGGCATGAATCATCCACCCATTCACATTATCTACCTACCGTCTTACCAGAAGACTAATTTCTCATTGCTCGAATCATAAATTCTCCAACCTTTCCTCGAACTTAGAATGCATGCAAAAACCCCTCCAAGGTAGCTTCGTTCTTGTGTTCTTTTCGAGACGCCCTCCCGTGTTCTTAAGATATCAAAGTCGTAGAGAAGCTTGCTACCAGCAGCACAAGTTGCGTTTGGCTTTCCGTTATGATTGTTTGTTTTTCGTCAGTCTCCTAGAAAGTGTGTTCCTCTCGTGGAACGTGGAGTAAACAGGAAAAGGAAAAGGATCGCCCTTCGGCAATAAGGCGGCTGCTGCTGCTGCTGCTGGGGGAGCATTGTCTTCCCAACTGGGAGATCCCAAGCCACAATAGCAAGCAGCAGCTCAGAGAAATACATTAATATTAAACAAACCTAAGAGCAATCAAAGGAGATTTATGCTTTTGATTTCGATGCCAATGCAAAAGACCGACTCTCGGCTCGACACGGTGCTGGTGGTGCTCCTGCTGCTCAAAGGGTAAATCCAATTTGCTCATGCTTTTCCGAATCTCTGCAGGATGCCGACGAGTAGGTGGTGAAACTCTCTTAGGTGCATAAAATATATCGATTTCAGAGTACGGCCGGCATTTCGGAAGGATAAGGCAATAAATATGATTAGGAAAGATATTGCTCGCAAACTATGGGAAAGGATTACTTAATCTTCTGAGTGTATCGATTTAATATATAGACGTACAATTTAGATTCGTCAACTAATTTCAATATCAGCTCATAGCCTACACATGTCACTTGCCTTCAACGCTAGATTTGGAATCAGAAAAGTCAAGCTCATCTTATCGAATATAATATATTTTTGAGGTTTAAAAATTAAGGCAATATTTGAAATGTTATCATGCAAAACGTTGCAAACGATGTATACAATCATATGCACAGATTTCGTTGCCAAAAGTCAAATCTACTGTCCGCCCCATTTGAACTCGTCAGCTCATGCAATACATACCGGGCTGATCGCATCCGGGTTTTCCCTAGAGTACACTCAAATGTGTGGCCAGGTTCTGGTACTTTGATTTATCCTTATTCATGTCTGATTTTCTGCTCCTAATAACTCTAGACTAACTACTACTTCTGCTACTACTACTTATAATACCACTATTTACTATACTTTTTCATGTCTGAACTGATTTTTAACGTACCATTTTCACACAAAATTAAACCAGTGAAGCTCAAAATCATCTCAGAACCTAATAAAGCTCAATTTGTGATTCAATTTTGTCTACTTAATTTGCAACTAATCACTTGGATTAATCGAGAATTCCATATGAAAAGGGTTTATATAATTAGAAAATATTATAATTGATTATATTGTCTACTTCTGAGGCAAAATCCGATACTTCTATAGCAATTTGGCATTCTTAGTTAAATCATCCATAAAGAATTAGGTATGAATAAAATTTAAATTGAGATCTTCTTTCGTATTTACACCGATTTGGGAAGTCAACCTAATTCTATATGCCCTTCTGTTATTTATGCGTAAACCATCAACATCATATACCTACCACTTCATTCTACCTATGAGCACTATAAAACTAAGGTTAATTTCATACAAGTAGCAGTTAATCTGATAACGAAGTTGAGAAGCTAAGTTTTAGTAAAATTATTATCATAGACCAAAGTAGTAAATTAAGACTATTAAGGTATTTACTACTACCTACTACCTACTACCTACTACCTACTACCTACTACCTACTACATACTACCTACTACCTACTACATACTACCTACTACCTACTACATACTACATACTACCTACTACCTGTTACATATTACCTACTACCTACTACTGCTACTTTTCCTACTATTGATACTATTGATACTACTGCTACTACTACTACTACTGCTACTACTGCTACTACTACTACTACTGCTACTACTGCTACTACTGCTACTACTGCTACTACTACTACTACTACTACTATTGCTACTACTTCTACTACTGCTACTACTGCTACTATTGATACTACTGCTACTACTACTACTACTACAACTACTATTACTACTATTGCTACTACTGCTACTACTTTTACTACTGCTACTCCTTCTACTACTGCTCCTACTACTACTATTGCTACTACTGCTACTACTGCTACTACTGCTACTACTGCTACTACTGCTACTACTACTAATATTGCTACTATTGCTACTATTGTTACTACTGCTGCTACTGCTACCACTGCTACTACTGCTCCTACTGCTACTATTGCTACTATTGCTACTACTGCTACTACTGATACTTCTGCTACTATTCCTACTATTGATACTACTGCTACTACTGCTACTACTACTACTATTGCTACTATTGCTAACATTGCTACTACTGATACTACTGCTACTATTGATACTACTGCTACTACTGCTCCTACTACTACTATTGTTACTATTGCTACTACTGCTACTACTGCTACTACTACTACTATTGCAACTATTGCTACTATTGCTACTACTGCTACTACTGCTCCTACTGCTACTATTGCTACAATTGCTATTGCTACTACTGCTACTACTGCTACTACTGCTACTACTACTACTATTGCAACTATTGCTACTATTGCTACTACTGCTACTACTGATACTACTGCTACTACTTCTACTATTGCTACTATTGATACTACTGCTACTACTGCTACTACTACTACTATTGCTACTACTGATACTACTGCTACTACTTCTACTATTGCTACTATTGATACTACTGCTACTACTGCTACTACTACTACTATTGCTACTATTGCTACTATTGCTACTACTGCTACTACTGCTACCACTGCAACTACTGCTCCTACTGCTACTATTGCTACTATTGCTACTACTGCTACCACTGCTACTACTGCTCCTACTGCTACTATTGCTACTATTGCTACTACTGCTACTACTGATACTACTGCTACTACTTCTACTATTGCTACTATTGATACTACTGCTACTACTGCTACTACTACTACTATTGCTACTATTGCTACTATTGCTACTACTGCTACCACTGCTACTACTGCTCCTACTGCTACTATTGCTACTATTGCTACTACTGCTACTACTGCTACTACTTCTACTACTGCTACTATTGCTACTATTGCTACTACTGATACTACTGCTACTACTTCTACTATTGCTACTATTGATACTACTGCTAATACTGCTCCTACTACTACTATTGCTACTGTTGCTACTACTGCTACTACTGCTACTACTTCTACTACTGCTACTACTGCTACTACTACTACTATTGCAACTATTGCTACTATTGCTACTACTGCTACCACTGCTACTACTGCTCCTACTGCTACTATTGCTACAATTGCTACTACTGCTACTACTGCTACTACTGCTGCTACTGCTACTACTGCTACTACTTCTACTGCTATTGCTACTATTGCTACTACTGCTACTACTTCTACTGCTATTGCTACTATTGCTACTACTGCTACTACTGCTACTATTGCTACTATTGATACTATTGCTACTACTGCTACTACTGCTCCTACTACTACTATTGCTACTATTGCTACTACTGATACTACTGCTACTACTTCTACTATTGCTACTATTGATACTACTGCTACTACTGCTCCTACTACTACTATTGCTACTGTTGCTACTACTGCTACTACTGCTACTACTTCTACTACTGCTACTACTGCTACTACTACTACTATTGCAACTATTGCTACTATTGCTACTACTGCTACCACTGCTACTACTGCTCCTACTGCTACTATTGCTACAATTGCTACTACTGCTACTACTGCTACTACTGCTGCTACTGCTACTACTGCTACTACTTCTACTGCTATTGCTACTATTGCTACTACTGCTACTACTTCTACTGCTATTGCTACTATTGCTACTACTGCTACTACTGCTACTATTGCTACTATTGATACTATTGCTACTACTGCTACTACTGCTCCTACTACTACTATTGCTACTATTGCTACTACTGCTACTACTGCTACTACTTCTACTACTGCTACTACTTCTACTACTGCTACTACCATAGAGGTAACTCTAAGACCACTGGGTCCCGAAGAAAATCATTATTATTTTTGGCTCACTCAGTACCAGAACAACGGTCCCAAGCAATCCCAAGCTATTTCACTCACCCCTGCATGTTCTGCATGAATCCACACACCCCTGATGTTATCTGTCAAACTTTCATAGCGAATCAAAACAAACATAGTGTGGTAATAGAATTTCAACTAGAATAGGGTACGTTAATCGTTTGCTTGGGACCAATAGGCTACTAAAGTGGTGAGCCAATTTAAAATCGTTAGTTTCGTATTGATTGTTGCTACTACTGCTACTACTACTACTATTGCAACTATTGCTACCACTGCTACTACTGCTACTATTGCTACTATTGCTACTATTGCTACTATGCTACTACTGCTACTACTGCTACTACTTCTACTACTGCTACTATTGCTACTATTGCTACTACTGCTACTACTGCTACTACTTTTACTACTGCTACTACTGCTACTACTGCTACTGTGAAGCCGTTGGTCCCTGGTCGATAGGTAGGATCCAGGTGTGAGAGCAGCCTCCCTGACGTCGGTAGCATTGGTACTCAGTACGGAAAACAAACCAAGGAGAAAAAAAGTGTTGGAAACATGAAGCATAACAGATGCAAATTTGAAATAAAAATGATGGATAAAGAAGCAACAGTGAATGGAAATAAAAGCAAAAGTGAATTAATAGAGTAGCAAAAGCGAAGACAAATATAAACATAAATTGAGCAAATTGAGCAAAGAGAACAACAATCAATAAAAATGCACAAACATTATGCATCAATGACATAAAAGAAAAGCAATAGCGCTGAAATATTAAATCAAAAGAGAAGCTAATATGAAAATATCAAAGCTATAGAAAAACAAAATATATGAATTAAATCAATAATTTATCAAACGTAGAGCAATATTTTTCTTCATTTTACACTTTGCTTAAATTTTGATATTTTTTTTTACTTTGATTCATATGTTTTGTTTTTATATAGCGTTGCATTTTTATCTATTTAGCATCTCTATTTTTTTATCATCATCCAAATCAAAGTTAATCATAAATTTTACATCAAAGTGAAGCAAAAGTGAAGCCAAGGTTAAAAACAAATGAAAAACAGAAGTGAAGCAAACATTAAAAAGAATATAGAAAAGTTCAGGAAAAATGACGCAAAAGTGAATCAAAAGATCAGCAAACACAGATCCAGAATTGAATCAAATTCAGAAAAAAAAAACTACAAGGGGCAGCCCTATGGAGTTGTAAATCTTATTTTTTAACTGCAGCAGGAGCTTGTGTTTTGTATAGGAATAGGAATGTGAGCGGGGTTCTCTCTGTTTATACTCCTTAGTATGACGCACTTGACATACATGGCCCACAGCGACTCACGAAGAGCTACTGATTCCGATCAACAGCTGTGTGACTTCTTGCCCCTTCTATGGATGCTCATGTGGGCTGCAGCTCGCTGCTTGCACTCAGCCTTTCGTTGTGTACTGGAGAACACCACCACTCACCACCTGCTGATTGAATAATCCGGGTGAGACCGGATGGAATTCATCTTTGAAATCTGTGTTAGGGAAATCGCTTTTTGCAGGCAATCGGTGATAATTTTAAGTATCATAGCAACAGTTGCAAATTTGTACAATTTTCAATAGTGACATTAGCAGATGCGTAGGAATATTTCGAATCGATTGGTGATAAAATTATTGAAATTGGTTCAGGGGCAGCTGAGTTATTAACGTTCAAAATATTTCATAATGTAAGTAAAGTAACAGTATAGTAAAAGTAAAGTAAAAGTAAAGTAAAAGTAAAGTAAAAGTAATGTAACAGTATAGTAAAAGTAAAGTAAAAGTAAAGTAAAAGTAAAGTAAAAGTAAAGTAAAAGTAGAGTAAAAGTAAAGTAAAAGTAAAGTAAAAGTAAAGTAAAAGTAAAGTAAAAGTAAAGTAAAAGTAAAGTAAAAGTAAAGTAAAAGTAAAGTAAAAGTAAAGTAAAAGTAATGTATAAGTAAAGTAAAATTAAAATAAAAGTATAAATTCAGTTAATGTAAAGTAGAGTAATAAACAAGCTTTTTTAAAAGATGTACAGTCGACTCCCCCTCACTTGAAACTGAATGGATCATCGCGTTGTGGAGGAATTTTTTGAAATCAATTTGTTCAATTGTATGGCAATAGGGGACGAAGAACGCTGAATTCCCATCTAATCAGAGAAAGTGTCGTGTTAGGGAGGGATCGAAAATGGGAGAGTTGACTGTGGTATGCTTCGACCAATCTTAAATTGAAATCTTCATAGACAAAAAACCATCCAACGTTTCCCCTTAAAACGAAAACAGTAATAGAAAGCACGTTCCAAACAAAACAAAAACATAATCGCAATATTCTTTGTCATGTCACCTTTAAGGCATGATCGCTGCCAAAATAAACTCATTTTTCTTCTAATCCCGTAGCAATGGTTTCATCACGCACTCCCTTCTGCCTCCCCTCACGATCCGGTAGCTAAAAATCAGCAAAACAACGAGCCAAAACATCTTCCACCAATTTTGTTTTGCTCGCTCATCTCTCAGGTAACGGGGAGCATCAATTTATTAAATTCCCTCGATAGCTAGCGTTAGCAAGAAAAAAAGAAAAGAAATAGCACCATGACAGGTCTACGTTTTCCTTTCCACCCTCGTTCTCGCCATCATCATCGAATGGTAGGTATGAGAGGAAAAAAAAAAGGTTGGTAAACCCATTCCTAGTGAGGAACAGGAGAATGGATGAAGATTGTCCCTGTCGGAAATCTTATTGGCCCGTTAAGTTGTTTGGATGGAAATTGTGCCAAAAGAGGTGGGAAAACCAATTTGAAAGGATTTTTATTCGGATATCTGGTAGTGAAAGTGTGTTTAAGAAGAAGTAATACTTGAAATAAAAGTTTGACAGGGCACCGGGGATGCTCTCAGAGTGCTGAAGGTTGTGGGATCCGTCACAGTCCCATCCACTTAAAGGATAGTAACTATGACAAATTGTCAGATCTAAAAGCTTTCAAGAAGTTCCAGGATAAGAGAATTCCCAGAGCAAATATGTCACACAATAAAACGAGAATTACATGTTTTTCGAATTTATTTGCCAAGTACTCCACCTGGAGAGGTTCGAATAGACGAGCACAGCTGTATCCCATGTATTTTTTTTTCCCCGTACCAGTTGGTTTCGAAGAAAGGCGTGTAACTTGATTGCACTTTTGTTTTGCTTTTTATTGCACTGGAAAAGTAACCGCTGAACCAAACAATCGTTCGGGGAGCTGAACTGCTTTGCTTCGAACCACAAAAAAAGGAGAAGGGCACTTCCGCAAACAAACCAAGTGCCATAGAAAGGCGAAACAAGTATTGTTTGACATGTCAATTATTGCACTTTTTACCATTTCGATGCTGAGTGTCAGATTTGAGTGGAGAGCAAAATTTCAGAGGCAGAGCAAAACTTCGATTAATGAGTGAACAAATTACGCTTACTACATTTTGATCAGGAGACTGCACAATTTCACCCTTCTGAAGGCGACACCATCATTAGTCGCAGAGCGGACGTCCCGGATAAGGATCAACTTTTCTACATTCAACCAACTTCGGCGCTGTATATTGCAATCGTCCTTAATGGTGACACTGTTTTGTTTGTGGTTGTGTGCGATGCCGCCGTTGTGAACTTTGTTCATCCGAATGCATCACAAAGTTTGTACCCACTGCTGTAACTTTGTCTCTCCGATGAACAGCTGTGTCGAATGTTAGATGAGCTCGTGAAGATGGATCAAGATAAATCGAGATGTTTAATTGATATGCTTCAAGCTGTGTGTCAGGGGAGATGACGAGCTGAAAGTTTAATTGAATTTCAAACAAATTCATTGCTTCAGATTGTAGCAAATGCGACGTCCCGGTGCAGCTGGCTTTGAAAATTCAATCATCGTGGGTGATGCGATGATGTGATGACACATGTACATATTTCGATTTGCTCTTCTATGGAGTTCCTCACCTTTCGTACGTTTCCTGAACATCTCGTCGAAGATCTACAAAATGAATGCCGAATGAACACTTACCATGAATTACGCCGAACTACTACGAACTTACTCAGAAAGTTTATTGAGGTTTTTTTTTTACGTAGACTACGTCTTACGGGAAGGTACTTGGGGTAAATCGAAAATCTAACATTGCAACCGTTACGAAAAGGTGTAAGGTTTTGAACGCTTATAACTTTGTCATTTATAGATTAAATTAATATCCAAGCCAAGTGAAGATGGTGATGATTAGTTGGTGAGCAATAGTGACTGATATGTACCATTTCTTATTTTTAAGAATATATTTTCAAATAAACAAAAGCTTAAATTGAATTGCGTATTTATTTCTTAATTTGGATGTCAGGAATCTTCTGTACAGAGTTGGCAACTAATAGATTTTTTTTTCATCTGACCAAAATTGCTAAAGAGAGCGATATTCTTATTACTTAAAATATAAAATTAATGCAAAAAATCTAAACAATATGACACTTTAGGGAAATGAATTCTAAACTCTGAGGATTACTATATATTTGTTTTAGTTCATCTTAAAAACTTGGTCGAAATCAAAAAACTTCCATCTAGGCAAACCAAAAAAAAAACCAAAAAACTCGAAACAATGTGAAGCAAAAGTGAAAACTGATAAGTAAATTCTTAGCTAAACTGTTTGCCGTAGAATAGGGCTAGTCTATCTGATCAACTTTTCCAACATTGAGAGCTTTCAATCTAGTTAAGATGTTAAGTTAGGGCAAACATTCTAAATTAATGTCACACGAACACCACCTGGTGAGTGAATCCTGTGTCGAACTTTTTTACCACAAAATAGGTCTTGTTCATCTGAAAAAATTTGCTGAATACGGAAACCTTCTATTTAGTCCATGCGTTAGGTTAGGAAAACAGTTTAAAATTAACATCACACTGGTGCAACTTGGTAAGTGTTTTCTGAACTAAACTCTAATTCTGAAGATAGGTCCAGTTCATCTGAACAACTTTGCCGAAGACGGGAACCTTCTATCTAATCCATATGTTATGTTAGGGCAAACATTGAAAAAGTAATGCCACTCTAGCGCCGCCTGGTGAGTTAACTTTGATCTGAATTATTTACCATAGGATAGTTCTTGTCCATATGAATAACTTTGCCGAAGACGGGAACATTCTATCTTGTCTAAACGTTAAGTTAGGGCAAACAATTTTAAATGAATGTCACACTAGCGCTGTCTGGTGAGTGCATTTTGAACTAAACTTTTTACCTTAGGAGAGATCTTTTCCATCTGAATAACTTTACCCAAAATGGAAACTTTCTATCTAGGCCGTGTGTTTATTTATTTATTTTTACTTGTCAACAGATAAAATAGTTACCCTAATGACAATTTTCTATATCTAGACATCAAAACTGCTTCAAACACAAAATTAACGCAAACATCTCTTAAAGCTACGCTTATTTTTCTCGCGGGACACATTAAAATCGAACACATAATAACAACTATTGAAAACGCGGCACATACTCAACATTGGTTCGTGTACGCCATAGTTGGTCCTCGAACGCCGGTTGTTGAAGAACGCATGCAGCCGGAGGTCCCGTCGTTGAGTGTTGATGTCAAGAAGACTGAGAAGTGTGGAGCAGTCGACGTTCCCTTGCAGAAGATCCGCAACGAAACAAGCCTTCGCCACATTACGCCTTCCTTCCAAGAGCTCCAGGTCGATGAGGTTACAGCGACTTTCATAGCTCGGCAAGTTACGCGGGTCGCGCCAACGAAGGTGTCGCAACGCAAAGCGAATAAATTTTCGCTGAACAGCTTCAATTCTATGGATGGAATTCTGATAGAATGGCGACCAAACAACGGCAGAGTATTCCAGTATAGGTCAAACCAGGGAACAGTATAAAGCCTTCAGGCAATACACGTCCTTGAAGCTTTTGGCGAAACGGAATAAAAATCCTAGCTGCGATGAAGCTTTAGATACAACATAGGCAATGTGATCCTTGAACGTTAATTTGCAATCGAGCATGACTCCCAAGTCCTTGACAGTCGATTCGCGTTTCAAGCTTATTCCTCTTAAGGTGTAATCGTGGAAATGCATCGCCCGTTTACGGCCAAAGGAGATGACCGAGCACTTGGACACATTTAAAGACATCCTGTTTATCCGGCACCAATCATCAAAGACTTCAAGTTCTTGGTGGAGGAAATGAGCGTCTTGAGGCCCTTTTATTACGTAGTAGAGCTTCATGTCGTCGGCGTACGAGAGTTTAAGGCATTTGAGGATCAAGTTCACGTCGTTCATATACAACAGGAAAAGCAATGGCCCCAGGTGGCTGCCTTGAGGAACACCAGATGTAACAATGAAGGGTGGAGAAGCGTAGTCACCGATCTTAACAGACATAGATCTGCCAGTCAGATAGGAGCGAAGCCAGGTAAGTAGACTCCCATGAACACCCATTTTGTCATATTTAGAGATGGTAATTTCATGGTTCACTCTATCGAAAGCTGCAGCAGAGATGGCAGATCTACTTTAATCTCCGTAGATCTACGGATTTTACAATTTTTTACGGAAATACGGATCCGTAGGCAAAATCTACGGAATTCGGTACAGTTTCTACGGATTTTTTCTTCAGTATCCGTCTCCCTTCAGAATCAAATTTTACAATCTAGAGTATAATCTGATTCTGAAGGGAAAGAAGCATAAAGTAAAATACCACCGTTTTCTTGCTCACTTATCCGCTTCTTGATAGAATTGGCGTTGACGGCGACTCTGTAGCTTTTATCTCCTATGAAATATCCGGTAAGCAAACGTCAGACTGTGCGTGAAACTCTTCACTCCGGAGAAAGTTCCCATAATATACTGTAAATCTTTGCTAGAAGAGAAAAATTTTCGAAGGTGCCGTGTGAAGGCGAATCAAAGTCGTGTCGGTCGACCGTAGTCGACACATTTTCTGTGATAATCGACTGCCTTTGCTTCCGACACTTGCTAAACAAGCTTTCAAGTAACAGTACCAATGTTATACGACAGGCCCTGTCATACGACACCGTAACGAATGTATGTATTTGTGTTTTTCTCATAATAAGAGCTGCTGATGTGTGCTTGTGTGAATTCTGAAAATAGCAAGCAACGATGTCCTAGTTATAACATTTCTGATCAGAAATGGTTTAATTGACACCAAATTGAGGAATTAGAACGAAATCACATGTGTCATATGAAAGTTATTTGATAATTTTCTTTTTGCTCGAATGTTGTTCTAGGATACTACGGTTAAAACGTGGCTTTCTTATTAGATTAGGACACCACTATACCGCCGCTATGGGATCACAATTGATCAGATCGCCATAGATGGTCTTGAAATCCCTGCAGTGGATCCTCACATTGAGCTGCAAACCATTGCCGTGGATAATGAGACAGAATTGCTGCTTGGGCAACAGGAAACGCTCCTTTGGAATAAGAACAAATGCCTGGAGATCACACCCGCGCAAAACAGGGTTCATCTGTTATTAATATATGACGAGCACGGCGAAGAGATAGCTTTTCCTGCCATATGTTTTGAACAATCTGGCATCTCTGAGCTGCAGAGAGGTCGGTGTATATGGCGTCAACTTGATGGCCACGTTCAATCTCACGAATAATGAACGATGTAAAAACAGTTAGATTAGTCGTCGTCGAGCGCTTAGGCATGAAGCCGTGTTGATCCTGAGAAATACTGTACGAGCAGTCTTGAACCTACTTTTCCAGGACAATTAGCTCGAATAGTTTGGAGATAGCACTCAATGCAGCTATTCCGCGGTAATTGGCGACAGTCTGCTTGCATCCTTTTTTGTGAACAGGGAAAACAAACGAATCCTTCCAACATTCTGGAAAAACTCCGGAGGTCATTGACAAGTTGAAGACCTTAGCTAAGGGCTCTGAAAGAGTGTCTAAGCAACGTTTCAGTACTAATGAGGGAATGCCATCTGGACCAGATCCTGTTGATGTTTTCATCTGTTTCCCGGCTGAAATCACCATGTCGCTGTGGATGGTGAATGGAGAACCAAACACCGACGTACGAGGGACATTACTCGTGGCAGCAGCAATTTCCTGAGCATCAAGAACTTCGTCTGAAAAAACGCTGCTGAATTGTGTGTGAAACATATTGGCGATATCTGCGACGGAGTTGGCATCAGTAACGCCATCAGTCATATTGGACGGCAATCCCGTTTCTTTCCGTTGCTCGTTCACATATCGCCAGAATTCCTTAGGATTAGCTTTGAGACTCTGCAAGTGAGACTGATGTGCGTTGTACAAGCTTGCATTGAGATCTCTGTACTCGTTGTTGGCGCGGACGTAATTAGCCTTCGTAGAATCTGTGTGATATTTACTGTGTTTCCTCAGTGCAGCCCTTTTCACCCTTTTTCAGATGCTTAAGATCAGAGTTCGACCAGGCGGGTTTGGCAGGTTTACACCGTAGTTTTTTAGGCACAAACTGATCGATAGCGTAGAATATGATACCACACATGGTCGAGGCAGCCAGATTCGCATCCCCGGAGTCTAGTGTCGCATTCCAATCCACATTAGCGAGAAAGTTATTCATTCGCTCGAAGTCTCCTTTGTGAAAGTTGTAGAAGACGGTTTCGGCGTGGTCTTGGAAGCGTTTCTCAGGATCGATTGCAAGCGTCAACAGTAGAGGTGAATGATGTCTGCAGTTTTTGACGAGCGGTGCCGGAGCATGGGTAACAGAGCAGCTTTGTCCCAAATCCTCCCCGACAAAGCACAGATCGAGCAAACGGTTGTTTGCATTCAGAACACCATTCACTTGCTGAAGCCTTGCGGTTGAATACGCGTCAAGCAAGGAGAGAGAAGCCGGACTGAACGATGAACGGGAAATGTCAGGAAAGAAGAAGCCGTGAGCATCTCTAAGCCACGATACAGTGCCAAGGTTGAAATCGCCCAAGATGACGATGCTGTCCCTGGCATCCATTTGAGAGACAATCCAATCCAGCGAAAGTGCATGCTTCTCAATCAGGCTGTGGTCGTTAACGCGGTCGGGAGGAACGTATATCACGCAGATATAGATTGTACCACTTAGAGTTGAAATTGCAACCCACAGATGCTCAACCGTCGAATCTTCAGGAGGTTTCAGTAAGCGAGATACGAAGCAGGAGCGAAAGGCCAAAAGGACTCCACCACCGGAGGTCTTGTTGCTGTTGAGGGTTGATCGATCTTGACGGTTAAGCTAAGGTAAACAATTCATAATTGATTTCACACTAGCGCTGCCTGGTGAGTGAATTCTGAACTAAACTCTAGTCCTAAAGATAGGTCTAGTCCATCAGAACAACTTTACATAAGACGGAAACCTTCTATCTAGTCCATATGTTAAGTTAAGGCAATCAATGCCAATGAGTGTCACTCTAGCGGTGCCTAGTGAGTGAATTCTGAACTAAACTCTTTTCCTGTCGATGATTTTTCGATGGTGCAACTTGATCATTTTCATTTTAGCGCCATCTAGTGAGTGAATTCTGTCATACACTATCCATAGTTTTGAAGACCTTGTATTTTTGAACATCTTTACAGAAAGAAGCAACATCCTATATGGTTGGGATCTCGTGATACAAACTTTTCTAATATCAAAATATGCCTTTTCATGGGTATATTTTTGTAATGACCCCTCCAAAGCCCACCCCCCCCCCCTCCTGAGATATCCACCCCAAAAATAACCTGATAATTGTAACGGGAAGTCCACTAAATTACCTATGCACAACATTTAAATTTAAGAAATCCATTGAAAATTCGTTAAGATACGGCAATTTCAATTTGGGGTCAAATTGACCCAAAAGTTAAAGACAACGTAAGTATTTAAATAAATGTTTTCCAACAAATATTTTTTCAAGTTTTTTTTAAGTAAATTTTATCGACTATTACAGAGCTCCAGTGGACGCGCCTAGTCGTGAAAGAATAAGAAAAATCCATTGACAAATAAAAATGTTACAGCCTATCAAAGTGGCCTGGGGTCAAATTGACCCCAAGGTACAGACAAAGGGTTAAAGATCTTAAAGATCGATTTTTACAATTTTTTAATAAATAAAGAATCGATCCTAAAAATCGAAAATCGATATCAAAAAGATCGATCTCCCAAAGATCGATCCAAGATCGCCCAATACTAGATCAACCTCACCTAAGTTATGTGAAAACGATCCCACGTTTTACAAATACTTCTTGGGTGGTGTCCCAATCGCCGAGTTAAATTTATCTCGTGGTCAAAAGTTACATTTCGAAAGTTATTTTCAATGTTCGAAAATCCCGGTGATTTCGAGCGATTGGTTTTCAAACAGAACTCAGCCACGGTTGCCAAAATTTAACTTCTAGTCGGTCATAAATAACCACGCTCGGATAGTAGGGTTATTCGATAACTTTCCATTTGTCACTTTTAACCACGAGTTAAACTTAACTAGCTATTTGGGACACAGGCTTGGCAGTAAAATAAGGGGCCAGCCATAAATAGTGTAGCATTTTTGACGTAGGACTAAGTCTGTGATTTCTATATGGGGGTACACTTTGTGAAAACCGAAAATGAAACATGTAACAAAATTATGAAAGATTGTTAACGTTAATAACTCAGCTGCCTCTGGACTAATTTCAATAATTTTAGCACCAATCGATCAGAAGTGTTTCTACGCATCTGTTAAATTTGAAACTTTATCATTTTCAAACTGTCACTGTTGGAAATTGCACGAATGTTAAAATTATCACCGATTGCCTGCGAAAAGCGATTTCCCTAACACAGATTTCAAAGTTGAATTCGATCTGGTCTCACCAAACGATGAGTGGTGGTGTTCTCCAGTACACAACGAAAGGCTGCCTGCAAGCAGCGAGCTGCAACCCACATGAGCATCCATAGAAAGAGGAAGAAGCCGGACTGCTATTGATCAGAATCAGTAGCTCTTCGTGAGTCACTGTGGGCCATCTATGTCAAGCGCGTCATACTAAAGAGCTGCAGTTAACAAATATAATTTATTATATAAGACGACGTAGTCCTACGTCGCCATTGCGTTCAATCCCATAGGGCTGTATCTTGTAGTGTTTGATCATTTAACCCCCCACACCTTGATAGCAACCTAAAGAAATAGTTCATGAACTTTGGCTGAACACTTTTTTTCACGAAATTTGTGCAACAAGCTAAAATTAAATGAAAATGGTTTTTTTTTTCATACATTTGTAACCGTCCCCAGAGAGCTAAAAAAATTTAATTCTGTCTCGAGCTCAATCTCTCAACATGGCATGTATTTTGATGACACTCGATTTGTGATTTCCCTCTCACAGATTACAAAATAGAGTACTACTACTACATGCATTTAGATTATCATCCATATACATATTGTCTGTGAGGACTACCCTAGCACTGCGATCATCAAATTAATCAGCTGACCAGCCGTATGATGTAGCAGTAGGAAGCTAGATTGTTCGAGCGTGGCTTTGTTCCAGTCATCGACAATCAACAACAGATCACTTTTGCTTTCTAAATGGATGAGTCTCACGGGAGATAAATTTTTGTTTGAGAGCGAGAGATTTGGTCTACGAACCGTTCTCCACGTCCACGATCGTATAGTGGGATTGGGATAGTTGGGTTTAGATACGAATTTGTATTTTTAGTAATAAGTGGCAATAAGTTGGTCCTGCGAGACCAACAATAAATATAGTTGTTCATGTGAATAAATGTAGTGTTGTAGTGCGATTGTATGAGTCCCAAGGAAACTGATGTGTTTTACCTTTGTTACTAGCGTAACATAGGTATTAGAATCGATTTTCACACGTCCTGCCGTCTGCGCCCGATAGCCATCCACACAAGCTATCTCACCTGTCCAAAACATTCTCAATCGATAGAACTCGGCGCGATCTGGCTCGACAGTTTAATTACGACATCGTATGATACCTGCAATAATAAATCAAGAATATGGTTGATACGTGCATGTCGGTTCACCCGTTTTTTTTTTTTTTTTTCAGAAGAAGGCTTTATGTTTAGTTTGGGCGTTATGATGAGAATAAGAAATCGTACACAAAATCGTGGAATGTAGGGGAGAATAGTCCATAATGCACCCCTGGGGTAAAATGGTCCCGTGCAGTTTTTCGATGCTTATCCATTACTAATTCTGGAAATATCATGTGCCAGAATGTTAGTTCAAGCACTGAACTAGCAATGCTGATTTTTAAATTCACGAATTGACAATCGGAAAGCTATGAAAAACAGCGCAGGGCCATTTCACGCCAGGGGTGCGTTGAGAACCATCGTACCCTACGTATTCCAATAGATCTTTTCGATGCTTAATCGTCTTTCTCTATCTACCACACATGTATGAATCGACGGTGTATTTTCCCACTAATGTGTTTCCCTCTTGCTCGCACTCGTTGGATTTAAATTGTACAGTAGTTGCGCCGATTAGACGTCGAGAAGCTCTATAAGACCAGTCAGATGTTGTCCCTTCATATATGTGCACGGCCGATGAGATCAACCCAAAAAAAGCCTCAATAATCTGCTGGAAAATGAAGAAAATTTACCAAAATTTAAAAGTAGTACCAATAGACCAAGAAAATCCAATCGTTAGAACTCTGGCATTTTTTCCTTGAAAAAGTGCGAAAAAACTGGAAAAACAGTAAGTAAATCGCACTTTTTACGATTAATGAGTAAAGTAAAATCAAATTTGGGTTGATCTCGTTGGCCGAGTGCAGAGAGTTTTTCCACCTGTCTGCACACGTTATTTCTAAACAATCCAAATTTAAGTAAGATCTACTCATTTCCATTAGAATTAGGGCTAAACAATATAGAGCGAACTAGATTGTAACTGACAAGATAACAAATTAACATTCGGATTCAGGTGTTCATTCGCCATCTTGTCAGTCCCAACTTTGTTTACTCAATTTTGGGGGATATGAGTAGATCCTAGTTGCTTAGAAATAGCGTGCATCCTGCATTTTTTTGTTCAGGATAGTGTATCTGACGCTTTAAACCTTGGTCTCTATATATTATATAATATATATAATATTCACAAGGAGGATAGTGTAACTAACGCTTTAGACCTTGGTCTATGTATCACCCTCATTTTTAAAAATCGCTATTAGAACTGGTACATCGTGAATCTCTCACCGATCAGCTCCTGCCGAGTTCACGGGTAAACTTATGTTAATCTGCTGAAAAAAATTGACATAACTACGTAGCCCTGTTTACTGTAAATGAATACCGGAATAATGCTCGCGTAACATTTGAACAGGAGCTATCAACTTTTGTAAACAATTTGCTACACTGTTAAATATCGACACATTTTTATTGGTAATTTTCCATGTAAAATATCACATGATTTTCATGTGTCCACACATAAACAGAATCCAGCCAGAAGTACACATGATATTTATGAGTCAAATGAATAGTATGTGTGGTTACACATGAATTTGATGTGTACACATAAGAACTATGTGTCCGACATATATAGATATATATCATTTGTTTATCACATTCCAAAAATTCATGTGTAGGACACATAAAAATTCGCATTGAATTTTTATTAGTGTAGGCCCTTTTCACAAGAACCGATGTACACCCTACCCGATGGTGTTGTAAGTTTGCGTAGACGCATTCGGTTCACGCGAAAAGGGCTTAACAAGTTTTGTGTACAAAAGTTGATAGGCCCGTCTCAAATGTTACGCGAGTATTCTTCATGTGTTCATTTTAAGAAAACAGGGCCCCGCTGTTGTGTCACTTTTTATCGAGTGAGTGAACTCAAATCCATCCGTGCACTCGTCTATTGGGGGTGCCGTAGGCAGTGATGCCACAATTCGACAGTGAGCATGCATAAGGGCCTATACGCGATGATCGATTCTCTTCGTCGATTTTCTCTTTTGTTAATAACTCGCTAGATTTAACGTTTCTCGGTGCGTTTGCTGTTGCTTTTGATAGCCAATACAACCTGTTACTACTCTGCATTGACCAAA